TCCAAACTGCCAAATCGATCACATTCATTTGCCAACTTGCACGGCCCACTCAATCTGCGTCTACTAAATTGGTGGACGGATGCGAATTGATTTTTTTTAATTTACCTAATTTTGGACAGATGACGGATGGAATGTCACCAAACCCAACTTGATCTGCGATCACCTCTATAGTGAACTGAACAGCCTCCATCACCGTTTGAAGAAAGAGAGAGGAGTTGTTAGTGACAAGCCATTTTATAGCCATTGGAGAAAGAGAGAGGAGTTTGCCATTGGAGATGCCAAAGCCATTTTATAGCAGGTATTAGTGGAAAGTGTTGTCCAATGGCAAGTTTTGGCAGCTGCTATCTTTGGTAAATGCCAAAACTTGTGTCAAATATGGCTCAAGCTTTGGCAGCTGCCAAAGTTGCCAAGTCACCAAAATCAACCGTTTCCCCCTCCCTCCCTCCCTCATCATCCTTTCTAGCAAGTATTTTCCAAAACAGAAGCAAACATTCACCAAAAAATAAATAAATTCTAAAGCTAAAAATTTTAGAATCAATTAATCAAAAATTATTTTTTTTGAATTTCAAGTAATATGAATGAATCAATTTCAGCAATTTCAAGTAATGAATTTCAAAAATAAAAAAATAAAAAAAAAATTGGGCAAGATAATATCATAAAAAATGCCTGCAATTTGAAAAGGAATTTGGCTTCATCTTCTTCATCATCATCGTCATCATCAACAACAACAACAAAAATCCTCAAATCTGATGATATATACACCTATAAAGTAGGGCTGTTCAGGGGTCGGTTTGGCTCGGGTTTATCCTTTACTCGGCAGCCGAACCGACACCTTTGGGTTAAGAAATTGGTGATCTGTGGTCGACCGAAGTGTGGTTCGAAATCGACGAATTAAAGAAGACAGTTTGACGGTCGGTTCGGTCGAATCCGAAAATCTAAGTAGGGGTGAAATTTTTGTGTAAAATATTGAATTGAACTCATGCTTATACATATATATATATATATATACACATACATATACACATACATCTATGACAGTGTATGAAAAAAAATGAAGAAAAATGGAGAGAGAAAGAGAAAGACTCGCCATCGTAGTTGTAACCATCGCCATCGCAGATTGTTGCCATCATTAGCTACCTCGTCTTCATGACAACCATTACCATCAAAAGAAAGAGAAGCACAGATGAGGGAGAGATGAGTTTGTCTCTCAAAGAAAGAGATGAAAAATGAGAGAAAGAGAAAGGCCAAAAACGAGAGTGAAGAGGAAGAAGAAGAGATTTTTCAACTTTTGGTCTACCTAGGAATTATGAGAGAGAGAAAAGCAAAATGAGAAATAAATCTGTGAAGACAAGAGAGAGAGAGAGAGAGAGAGAGAGAGAGTCATCATTATTAATGCTTTGGAAAGTGAAAGGATAGTCTCTCTTTGACAGACTAGAGTCTAGACTACTATGCATACTTCCAATATATAAATACTATTATATACTCATTGTTTCGGTCGAGCTGGGTTCATCGAATTTATACGGGGAAAATCCAATACCGACCGTAAATCTGTAAAATTCAGTGCAGAAAAATCGTAGCCAATCGTTCTTCTCTTCGAAATCGTCTGTGGCAGCCCGGGTCGGTCCAGATCGAACAGTTTGAACGGGTATTCAGGTCATATGAACAGACAGCCCTACTATAAAGAAAAAGAACAGAGATGAGAGTATTCAAATTAATTAAACTAAAAACTAAACATGATATGCATATAGATACATTATATATATATATATATATCATACATACATATATATACGGAAAACTAAAAAAACAAAAGCATGGAAGAGAGACAGAGAAATCAAGCATATGGAGAAAATGAAAGCTACTGCAAAAGGTATATATATATATTTTCTATGAAAGCTGCTACTAAAGGTATACATATATATTCTTCAAATGGACTCCTAATTTTCTTGGTATTTCATGGAATTGAGCTTTGACTCACCGGATCTGAGCTTTGACTCTTAATTTTCATGGTATTTCTATGAATGGACTCCTATGAATGGACACAAAAACCCATTATCATCTCATGCGTGTGGGTTAGATCTGAGCTAATCTAAACTTTCTCTGTTTCAGATCGAGAAAAAAATATACAAATCCATGACAACGAAAGGAAGTTTGTGTAGCTTGCAGAGGCGTGAGATCAGGGAGCTTTCGTATCTAAGAGAGAGAGAGAGAGAGAGAGAGAGAGAGAGAGAGAGTTTGAGGAAGAATGGCTTGGTTAGGGTTTGATTTGGAAGATCTGAGGAGAGGAGATGAGAAAAAAAGAGAGAGAGATGAAGACTGGTGAGAGGAATGAAGAGAGAGCAGAGAGATAGATAGAGAGAGAGCTTGCTGTCATAGAGACTTGGGAGATGACTCAGCAGGAGGGTATATAGATAGATAGATAGTTAGATAGATAGATAGATATTGGAATGCACATGGATTGTTCTAGATAGATAGATAGGTGAGCCGTTGGATTATATAATCTAACGGTGCTATTTTGTTATTGGAATGCACATGGGTTTAAGTAACAGCTTTTTTTCTTCCTTTTTCAAACAACAGCTATAAATTAACGGTCATTATCTACAAACGGTCATATTTTGTATTTCTATAAATAGAAATCCTTAATCTCAATTTCATTTCACACCAAACATTTCAAATTTCATTTTTCTTTTTTTTTCTCTTCTCTTTATCTAAATTTCATTTCACACCAAACTTTACAAATTATTTTCTTCTTAGTCTTTTCACACAATCACTATGGAAGATTCATCAAAAATAAAGAGAGGAAAATCATTTACCACTCACGAAGATGTGGCAATTTGTAGAGTTTGGTATCACATTACTGAAGATCCAATTGTTGGGAATTCACAATCTCATGCTCATTTTTGGGGAAGAATTTTTGAAAATTATTGTTCATTGCAGAATGATCACTCAAGAACACAAGTGTCTATCTCATTTCGATGGGATGTAATCATGAAATGTTACAAAAAATTTCATGGGTGTTTAGCGCAGGTCAAAAATTTACACCCAAGTGGGATGTCTCAAATTGATATAGTAAGATTTCATCTTCATTTATTATGTTCGTTTTTTTTTTTTTTGTCTTTTATAAAATTTAACTAATTAATTAATTTAATATTTTATTGATACAGATGCTTCAAGCAAAACTGTTATACCATCAAGATGAAAATAAACATTTCATTTTTGAACATTGTTGGCCAATCTTGCTAAACAATATCAAGTGGCAAGATTTAGCTCCTACGAACACGGTGAAGTCAAGGATACATACACCGTTTTTCCCTGATTCAGCCCCGATTCCCCTATGGATAACTGCATTTCTCTTGAAGATGACACCAGTCCAAGTGTTGGTAACAATCCAACTGTTGGTGAGGGCAGTGTCTCTGCAAGGGATAAAAGGCCTATGGGTAGGAAAGCTTCAAAAGAATTATTTTGGAGGAATTAAGTGGTTGAAGCTAAAGTCCAAAAAATGAGCATACAATTAGAGACATTTAACCAATACCTTGCTGAGAAGGAAAAGAAAAAAGATGAAAGAGAAGAAAAAAGGATTCAAGCACTGCAGGAAATGAAAGAACTTGAGATCAGAAAAGAAGAACATGAGCTAATGACTACGGACATTTCTATTTTGGACCCTCAGACAAAAGCATATTACACAATACGAAAAAATAATATTTTCGCCAAATAGTCCTCAAATGTCAGCAACCCAAATTACTATTTCTCCATGCCTCCTGATGAATAATTACGGGATAATGTATTTTTAAATTTAGCAATGTCATTTAATTTTTAATTTGTAATTTGTAATTTGGATGGTTGTTGGTGGGTAATTGGTGATTGTTTATTTTTTATGTGTAGTTAAAAAAAATTATTAAATATGCAGTGATATGTTTTTTGGTGGGGTGAATTAATCAAATAAATTTTTTTTTTCAAGTTTTTCATTTTTTTTTAATTTTTTATATTTGTCTGGTTGGGAATAATATAAATATATAATTTTTCTAACAAATAGGTAAAAAAATGTCACAAAAGACAAAAAATAAACAAAAATAAAATCACAAAAAAACCTATATCCAAACAACACCTACAAATTTGGAGGGAAAGATGGTTGAGATTTGCCAAAAATAGCAAAAGACCATTGAAGCACTATTGCTATAATATAACACTATCCATTGCCAAATTATAGCAATAGCAATAGCATTATAGCAATAATAGTTGGAGATGCTCTTACAAGTAATGTTCTGAGCAAAAGTTTTGGTGGCCTCAAAAGTTGATATTTTTTGCTTTGTGTTTCTGTTTTGATTAATATACAAAACATTTGAAAATTATTTGTGTGACATTGCACTTTGCACTAATCATATCAATTAATAAATCTCACATTTATCTAAAAAGCACTAATAATTATATTTTATAAGATCCTTTGCATGATGTGATTAATTGTTATGGTATTATGTTGTCGCATATGGGAGCCGTAATACTAACTATCATATTTTTGTCCACTACTAACTTCCATGGAACCTATGCATGTACGTTAGTAATGTTCAATGGTTATATGCAAATTTAACTTTAGCATCATATATCTCTGTTTGTTGTTATTAATGTGTCATGGCTTATGCGTGTGTATATAACAACCAAATTTGTGATGGTAATCTTTTGTAATCGTACATTAGTAATGGCTTCGACACGTACTTCGCCGCGTAACCACTCGAAAAGCAAAGGCGTTGTCACTGACAAGTCAAGCAGTCTTGAAGAGACACAAAATCAGTTAAGCCACAAGGCATAATGGGACAGTAACTCAGTCCGAGTTTTCCTCCAGTTGATTGCAAATGAGATTAGTAAAGGAAATCGCCCATTCTTAGTCCTCAGCCAAGCAGGGTACAAGTCATTGGCAAGGAAATTTGAGAAACAAAAATGGATTGAAACAGTTGAAGAATAAGTACATGACCTTGAAAAAAGAGTGGCAAGCGTAGACAAAGTTGATGGATTCAAGCAAGGGAGTGTCCGGGATAGGCTTTGACTATGACACCGGGTTGTTTCAGGCACCTGACGAGTGGTGGGACAAGATGGAATCAGTAAGTACATGTACAAACAAGTTTTATATTTGTCATTTACGGATACATTTTTTACTTCTTCATTTAACTTCAATAGAATTTATTTATATGAAGTATAACGTCTTCCTCTTTCATACATCTATATTTCTGCAGATCAACAAGGCGGGTGCGAAGTTCAGGAAAAAAACTTTGGAATACCGTGACTTGATGGAGACGGTCTTCATGGGGGCATCAGCTACTGGGAAACATCATTGGACCCCGGGAGAGAACCTTCCCGAACTTACTGAGGACTCATCTGATTCAGTGCGTAGTTTGGGAGCCCAGCCATTTGCTGATCCGATACCCGCAGGAGTACAGGACGTGGATTCTGATACTTCACTGGAGCATGTTCCGATTGAAAAGGTAAAAAGGAGAAAGACGCCATCAACAAGTGTTTCAAAGTCGAAGAAGGGAACAAGTGGTGCGTCCGTTGTTGCGGAAAGCATGAACAGAATGACAGATGTGGTGCGTTCGAAGAATCAGCAGGTCACGGTGAGGCACTTCACAGGCAACGAATTGCTGTACACTATTTCCGAGTGCATGCATAAACTGAGCAGTATTCCATCCCTGATTGGTACACCGTTATTCCACTTAGCCTCCACACTTATGGATAACGCCGATTACCGGGAGGTCATGATGTGCCAGCCTGATGACGACCACATCATTGGATGGCTTACACAGAAGTAGCTCCAGTGTACTGCGTCGGCGCCTTTTGCAAACCTGTTTGGGGGTCGCCGGATGTGATGTAGCGGTGTTACGAGTGTTGAAGATGCATGTCCTTCTCTTCCTTTTTAAAACTGACTTATGGTATTGTTGGCACTGTACTAAAACAGGATGGTGGTGTGTGCATGTTTTCATTATGTCGTTTTTGTTTTTTTATTACTAGCTACGAGCAGCAACAAGTTTTAGGTAAGTGCATGGGTTGACGGAACGGAAGCATGGTTGTGCTTCGTTTTTGGAAAATGAATGGGATGTTTATGTTATAATATTTTCTGTGGGTACGTTTAAGACAGGGAATTACGTTTTACTTGCACGCTTTTGAATGCCTACATGTCGCAAGTTCATTTGTTAGTTTAGTTTGCTGGCTAGTTTTGTGGTTGTTACCACCATGGCCCCCCTGTAAAGCATAAGTTGCACAGCTTCTTTTTTTTGTGCAATTCATATGATCATGCGTTCCAAATGACATTGGTGACGGCATTACTTTGATTAAAAACAATGTCGGCATTTTCTAATTGCAAACTTCAATAAAATTTAAGTCAATGAATCACGTGCCAACTGATTGAAAGGCTGCCACTCTTGTAGGTTTCGCATCAACGAAGACGCGATGAATCCCTGGTACGGAAGCAACCATGATGAAACAACGGAAATGCTTAATCAAATGGTGGTCCAGGTGCAACAAGAACAGAACTGCACATTTCTACAAGCATGCCAGTTGGCGACAGAATGGTACGAAAAACACATGAATAAAACGCCGTGTCGCACTTCTATACTAACCGGGAATACATGGATATGCGAACTATATGCGGGGCATATGGGTCGATTTGAGGAAAATGTTTGCATGCCGAAGGAAGTTTTTGCCGCATTGTGTGAGACATTAGTCAATGATTTTGGGTTACAAGTCCCGCAACGTCCCTATGACTTAGCTGTTGAAGAAAGCGTTGCGATATTTATCCATGTGTTGAAAGGGAAGCAAAATTGGGAAATCCAAGAATGGTTCCAACATTCCGAGGAGACTGTGTCGAGGCACGTACATAACGTATTAACTTCCATGAAAGAGTTCACTGTTGTTCATTGCCGGCCCACATACAGTCAGCATCGTATACATCCATACGTGCGGTCTAGACGGAAACACCTACCGTTCAAGGTACTTCTGAAAAACATGATTGACATATAAATGAAGACAATATATTTTGTTTTTGTTATTATCTGCACGTGACGCTTTTATAAAAGCGAAACACTTGTTACTCACTTACGCAACAAAACAATTTATCCATGTTTGCAGGACTGCATTGGCGCAATAGACGGAACACATGTCAGTGCATGGGTTACGGGGCCAAATGCGGCAACATATTTCAGTAGGAAATACTGTCACACGCAAAATATAATGGTCGTTGTCGATTTTGACATGTGTTTCATATTCATTTCCTGCGGATAGGAAGGAAGTATGCATGATAGTCGCATATTCAATGAGATACTAACAAATGACAATGTCGCCTTCCCACATCCTGATGAAGGTAACACATGGTCCTGTTATTAGATTTATTAACAAATAAATTTTTCCTGAAAAAGCGTTATATGAAAATGACGCTGAATGTTCGTTTTGGTGTCATACATTGTTGTCATGTCTGCAGGCAAATATTATCTTGTCGATTCTGTCTATCCAAACTGGATTGGTTACTTAGCACCATTCAAAGGCCACCGTTACCACCAACAAGAATTCTGACGTATTGCACGGAACACGATGGCAAACACACCAAGGAAATTATTTAACAAAGTGCACTCGTCCTTACGTAGTGTGGTGGAACGCACTTTCGGTGCCTGGAAAAATCGATGGGGGTTTATTCGAGACATGCCACGGTATGACTTTGCAAATGTGCAAGTTCAGTTAGTAGGTGCGTCAATGGCATTACATAATTATATACGGCGAAACACAGGTAACCCAACAACTGTTCAGCCAATCTGTGACGAGGAAGAGGCAATGACAATAGTAAATGCCATACCAGAAGTTGAACATGACGAGGATGGTTTAATGGTTGGAGATGAGGACCCCCATATGGCATTGGTCCGCCTTTACATACGCGACAAATTATGTTACATGCGTAATAACGGAATGTTAGGAAATATATAGTAGTCGAAATAATTTTCGTATGGTTGTCACATAATGACACACTGTAGACACCCCATTTTTGACCGACCTTAAGACTCAGACGTCACCGATTGAGCGCTTGGTGATGTTGCATATCGCGCTCGTTCAGAAGTTTCAGAGTCGCGGTCGTGAGCCCTGCCTCTGAACTTCCGAACTCTCTTCTTTGTCTTGTCTCGGTTTGCGAACCAGACTCGATTTTCTCTGTTTCTTTTCCTGAGGGGAGGGAGAGGTCCTGTAGACCATCTCTCAGTGACCGTGGGCTGCATTCTGTGGCCGTAGGCCATTTTGCCCATTTCGGAGCCCGGTTTCCGGTTTTCCGGGACCGTCAGGCCATGTGCCTCGGTTCGGGACCGCCTAACCGACTCCGTTCGCTCTGATTTTTGGCATAATTCTTATTCGCTCCCTTTTGAGGGACACTGGGGTCTGAGAAACCCACTTTGTGGTCGAACGCCACTTTCGGTGCTTAACAGCCTATTTTCGGGACCCCGAACTGCGTGTTTTGGCCCCCGAGGGTTCGTTTTGCATCAGTTTTCGTTCATTTTTGGCAGGTACCTCTGTTTTATCACCGGGGAGGTCACTGAAGGGTGAGAGGCCAGTAATTGTTGCAGCAACCAGTTATACATCCTCCGACGCCCTCCGGCGCCCGTTTTTCACACTTCCGGGCTAATGTTGAACACCTTGGGCCCATTTTCTCGAACTTTGAACCACATATTTGTGATATACACACATGGGAGGACCCTAAAAGTTGGTGGCTGGCCATTAATGCTACTTGACCCTTTTGACCCCCTCCTTCCGGGCTAATGTTGAACACCTTGGGCCCACATTCTTGAACTTTGAACCACATATTTGGGATGTACACACTTGGGAGGACCCTAAAAGTTGGTGGCCGGCCAGTAATTCCACCTGACCCTTTTGAACCCCTCCTTCCGGGCTAATGTTGAACCCCTTGGACCCACTTTCTTGAACTTTTAACCACAGGGTTGTGTTGTACACACATAGGAGGACACCATCCATTGGTGGCCGGCCAGAAAATCTGATTGACCCTTTTGACCCCTAGCCGGCCGGCTAGGGGGTGTGGCCGGCCGGCCACCTGCAGAAAAAGTAATAGGCCGGCCGAATTCCTTGCACTGTGCACTTTACAGCTGTGGAGCTTTATCCCCCAGAAAAGATCTTTATCCGGGGGATATTTTGTGGGGGAAAGTTGCTCTCCTTTTCCCCCACCTTTACACCCCCTTTTTGGCCTTTATAACAAGCAAGCTATATCATTTGTTGGGGTTATAAAATTTGGTCTTCAACCTTCCATACACAAATCCCTTTCTATACCTCTCATTTCCTTAAAAACTTCTAAGTCCCTAATCACCATTTCTTCTACACCACCAAGCTCTACCATCACCACTTCATTTCCAGCAACAAGGAAGGCTTCTCAAAGGCTAAAGGAGCTGCAAATTGATCCAAGAAGCAACAAAAGCTTTGGTCTCCAAGGGTAAGTAGCACTTCTCCTCTTTTGACCATTTTTCTTGATCCATTTGTAAGCCCCACATGATTTTTGTTTCAAGCTCCGGCCCTAACTGAAAGTGGCCCTCTTTTGAGGTCATTTTCACTTTTAATTAAGGGGTCAACCCTGTTTGAGCCCTCCATGATACACTTGCTTCATTGATCCTCTTATATGTCATAATCTTGCATTACCTGCAAAATTCACCTGTGTTATCACTGCCAGAACCGGGAAAACTACTGATCTTGTACCTTTCAGTGACCAACTCAACCATGGGGTGTATGTTAGCTCAGGAGTCGGAGGCCAAGGTGGAGAAAGCCGTCTACTACTTAAGCAAGAAAATGTTGGATTGCGAGACCCGTTACACCCCGCTAGAGAAGGCTTGTCTCGCCTTGGTATGGGTTACCAAGAAGTTGAGGCACTACGTGTTATCTCACTCCGTAATTCTAGTTTCAAGATTAGATCCCATCAAATATCTCTTCGAGAAATCAGCACTTACGGGTAGGCTAGCTCGTTGGTTGT